GACCCCCGTGACCCAAAATGGAATAAGCGGGTAAAGATAATGGATGGATGGATGGATTAGTGGCTGTGGAACAAGGTGCAGCAAAGATTTCTGGTTAAAAAAGTAATCTCTTTTGTTAAAAATGCTTCAGTCTCCATTTTTTTCTACACATTGACCTGTTCTTTTTCACAAAGTGATTGAATTTGCAGACTCACTCATGATAAATAATCACATTTTCACATTACGTTTTTTTTTTCTCCATCTTTTCAGTTGATCAGCAGTACTCCACACCGAATCCCATGTTTGGTTGCCACAATTCTTCAGAAACTTGTCCGAGCAACCAAGCTCTGCTGTTTAGAAACTACAACAGGTAAAATGAGCTCTCTTTTTAATCATTAGTATTTTTTTTAAATCCCTTCTCAAACACGGTTCAACTCTCCCTCAAAGCTTCTGGACTCATCAGTCAATGTCAGATTCTTTCCACTGACATTATTTGCTCACTTGTCGGAACTTTGTAGCAGCGTGAACTCTCTCTGATCCCTCATTGAGCTCTGTGTTCGCTTCCACACCGTCTGGGTCGTGAATCCTCATTTGTTCTTAGGTTAAGTGCTGCCCACTGGTGCTCAGCAGGCCCAAAACAAACAGCAAAGTGATCTACTGCTGATGATGTGTTGAAGTCAACCCCGAGGGAAAATAAGGAAGAAAGTTAAAAACAAGTTCAGTGAAAGTGAGTTGCACAAAAAGGAGATCTGGGCTTCAGCTTGTAAATGTGTCCAGCTTATTTCCATTTTGATGGAAAACATCTCGGTAAATTTGGATTCTTTAAATGCCGACTCGAGATGTTGTTGGAGAAAAAAGAACATGTGCAACCCAAATAGTGGAACAGCAGCTGATAAGAAGAGGGAATACTGTGCTGCTGTTCCAGCTTATGGCAGGAACTGGAAACCCTCAAATAAACACAGAGAAGCGTGCACAAGCATGCACATGCTCATACACCCGTGGAGTGTATGTCAGATATCAGTGAGCCTTTCCACAGTTCAACATAGCTCAGAGCTGATTAGTGAGCCATCGCAATCCTTCCCTCAAGGACTTCTTGAGGAATGCGCTCTAGAATTCCCCCAAAACTGTTTCTCGCCACTAATGATACAGAGGACAGGGTGATGTCATGCACCGGTGCAGGGTGTACTAGGCACGAAGGCACCCACTCCCACAGAGAGCTTAATCACATCTCTAAGTGTGTGTATTTTATTGCTCTGCCAAGGCAAAGAGAAACTCAGAGCTCGAGTCTTTAATGAAACCAGGGAGGATGTGTTAAAAGGCAAACCATAATCACTAATACAAGGCAAAAAAAAAGCTGTCAAAAGAATCTAAATAAAAGAAAAGTACCTTCTAGTTTGTGTTGCGTTTGTAGCAATCTGCCTATCCTGCACACTTCTGCTTTGAAATATAATACGTTCACACTCAAACACACTGAAAACTAATATTATTTTATTTGGTATTGAATTTAGTGATAATTTGTACCAAATGGCATCTCAGCTGGAGTGCGTCACGTGGAACCAAATGAACTCCTTGAAGAGGTGAGCTCTTTTGGAAATGGTCTGATACTTGAAATAAATGTGATATTTTTAACGACGGACCTGTGTTTGTGAAGCTGTACAAAAAGAGTAGGAGGACAATTTGACCAGATGGCTGTTGGCTTGCCTGCAGGAAAAACAGGCCAAGAAGAAGAGCTTAACAATGTTTACGTGTATAAATGTGAAATTCTGCAGCATGTCTTAAATAAGGTTCTACTTTTTGATCTTCAGAGAAGTATGAACTCTTTTGGATGTCGTTACCATTAAAGCTTATCAGATGTTTATCTGAAGGTGTGCGGCATGATGATTCTCTGACCAACCAAAGCACAAACTGTCCTACTCTGACACAGCTGTGGCTGACTCAACTAAAACATAATCTCTCCCACATAGTAACAAAACAAAAGCTGTTCTAATTTTAGCCGAATAAAAAAGCTGTTTGTCAAAAATTGTTGCAGGGTTGAGTATTTTGACTTTGTTTGTTTGTTACCATACCATGCCATTCCATACCATACTACACCATACCAAACCATTCCATACCGTACGGTACTATACCATTCCATACCATACCGTAAGTACCGTACCGTACTGCACCGTACCATACCATACATACCATACATACTGTACCATGCCATACCATACCAT